TCCATACATTGGTTGTTCAACATGCACTGCAGAACGAATTGTTCTGAAGACTGAACCAAACAGGTTCACATTTGACGCTACACACAAATCCTCCTGGCCCTTCACAGGGAATAAGATGTTTTGTTTCCTCTATTGTGATGCAGTTGGTGTTTTTTTAAATAAGTTTATTTGATACATCATATTTTTTGTGCATTGTTCCTTGATTTGCATGATCAAAGATGAAATTTCTTTCATGGTCTCTTGGAGAGAAAGGAGATGTTGGACTGGGATTTTTGAATGACTGCCAAGGCATAGCCTTGATATGTAAGCACTAAGGAAAGATTTACCCTGAAAGGTGACTTGTAGACTTAGAGACTCATTGACCAGCACCAGGCAGCTCCTTACTTTTTGTGCTTTGTTCGACTATACAATTTAGCATTCTATGTACCTGCATGGTATACTGTTTTTTAATTTGCACATCACCACCATCATGGACTTGTAGAGGTTCATTAGCTACCCTAGAAGCTTGAGGAGCACTGGGATTGTCAGATTGCCACAGCTGAGCTGAGAATTCCCCCGAGCAGGAAGTGAGTTGGAGAGATGTTTGAAGTCTTGTGTGCTATGAATGTGCTGCAATACTGAGAGTGACATGACCCTAAAATGTATTTGTCGCGAAAAGCAAGGAGAGTAGGCTGATGAGAATGTGGAGTCAATGCAACAGCACGGAGTCCTGGTGGGGGTGGTGACTAGGAGGAAGCAGGTCAGGAATTTATGCAACCCCTTTCAGGACAACGGAACTCAGTAGAGGGTGTTATGGCCACTCGTCCCAAGCAAGGTGAGCAGCGTCCACAGAGAATAGAACCAGCACTGGACATTATGAGATCAAGGCGGTGATGGGCAACACCTCACTGCATCACGTTTCAGGTGTTGCCAATATTTGATTTCCACCCCCCCCCGACCCTTTTTTACAGCTGAGGCTTGATGGATAATCCATTATGGCCCATTTGTCAGAAAAGGAATCCAAGGGATTCCAATGTAGATCCCACCAGCTGTAGGTTAAATGCAAGAAGTATGATCATTGCCAGGCAGCCGAACACCAAAGACAAGTGTGAGGCTTCAGACCCTAATCCTGCTGCCGAAGCCCATTGGAGTCCATTGGTTGAGGAGGCCTTTGAGGAAAAGACGACGATGAGTATGAAGGCTTGGTATGTCACTGCTATAGATGAGGGGTTAACATGGCACAACCATGTAGGGGGTTAATGCTGAGTGCTTACACTCAGCACCAGATCCTCACTACAGGCTGTAAACAAACAGCCTCAGATACGTTGCGTGAGCAAGAGAGCTTAAGGTTGAAATACCCAACACACCCCAATGACCAGACACAATGCCAGTTTGAATATAATGGTTAAGAAAAAAAGAGCCAACTACAGCATCTTAGACGAGGCTTTGTCACCCTTTGTCCCACTTTAATTGAATTAAGCCTTCTTGTTTTTGTAATATTGATAACAGCCTTTTTTTTCCATTGCAGCTTCACTTTCTTCTTGTTACTTCACTGAAGCATGTTCAGTCAATATGTTAATTGTTTTACAAACTTTCTTGGTCATTAGATATTGAGCACAGTTGACAATAATAATACATTTTATGTGCAGTGTGTGCATTTTGTTCAATGCATTTGTTCATAACGTTTTAAAAAAGAAGTAAAGTAAATTTAGGTTTTTTCTCGATATAATACAACTTCTTTGATATATTTTGAAACTTTAAATCACGCGTAAAGTATTGTAAATATTTAGAGTATTTCTTCCTTTCAGATATGGGCCTTAGTTTGTTGGAGAAAATGCTAACCATAAATTCATTAGCTCCATTGCTCCCTATAGCTGACTCAGAGACAAACAGCTTCCTTAGGTTGGAGCTTGTGTGTATTCGCTTGTGTGTCTGTGAATCTGTTTGTGTCCCGGCCATTATGGGGTCAACTCTGTCTGACGCCAGCTCCCTCACTAATTATCTGCTCTAATATCTTTACCTGAGGCCAGACTCGGGCTATTGCATCTTACGTTAGTCTTTGTCAGGAGGAGAAATATCCTCTCAAGATCTCTTTCACCCGTCTTGCACTAATGACATACCGACTGGGATGCCAGATAAGGTCTTACCAAACATACGTGAGTGACAGCTCCATCAGATACCGTGGCAACGTGAAGCATGTCAATAACTGTTCTATAGGTTTGGTAAATGTGTGTTCGTGCTTCAGCTGATAAAACTACATTCGCAGAGTTTATTTGTTTTGGGTTTGATCAGTACAAGTTTGGGATTAATTATTGGCCACAAACCCCCAAAAATAATTGAAAATCATTAAACTATACTTGTATCACTCATGCCTAAATAGACCGCTCCTTTTTGCCATTAGAGCAGTTAACTGCTTACGCAGGCTGGTCTTATCCAAAATTATTTTGTATGTTATCCACGTATTCATGAACAAAAGTATAAAGGCAGGTGGAAGGGGTCATAGATGGGTCCAACAAAAAATGGTCTTTCAGCCAAGAGACCGCTTTTTGATTCCCAGATGAAAAGAAAACCAACTTTGACTTATTTCTCTCGTAACTTGCGTACTTCAGTAATGGCACTTCTGTAGTTATTTTAACCCAAACAATAATCTTTGCCTAAACTTAACTAAGACGTTTTGTTGCCTAAACCTAACTGAGTTGTTTCCTGTGAAGACAGAAGTTTATTTTGAAAGGACTGTATGCATGTTACCAGCATAAATTGACAGGTGTTGCTGGCTTTCGTAGTTAAGAGAAAAAAGGAGTAACTTAGTAAGATATCGCATGAACCGTACGTTTAAAAGTTTATAGAATCATTTAATGAAGTAGATATTAAGTCTGGAAGGATGATATTTCCCTATTGGGGTAACAATGCTACCAGCACCAGAAAAATGTAGCAGAAAACAATGACAACTGTTCTTGTGACATTCTACATTTTTGAGGAGGTGCACATCCGCTTAATATGCCACAGCAAAGGCACCACAAGAGTTTGCCACAGAAACAGGGGAGAATGTGGCAAGATTTGATTGCAGGAATCTCAGCCTTTCTGTAAAGGCAGGTGCAGCAGCAAACATCAGTGTCAAAGAAATCGAGAGAGGCTTTAATGTCGACCAGCAGATAAAAACCTCCTGATGATTATTGGGAGTTAATTAGTGGGATGTAAGAATGTTAGTCTTCAATATCCCCCCTGTCGCTGCATCATTGCAGGAAGCAAACACAGCAACAAATCCACCTGCTGTCCAAAGTGATCTGTAACATTCACACAAATACACTGCTTACAGAACGAAAACATTAGCTGCTGACAGTCATTCACTATTGAACTTACTACACATCAACTTGGATCCGTGTGTTTCAAATTGTTAAATACATCATCTCTCCCAACAAGATGTCATCCTATCCTTCTCCTTCTTCTTAATGGCAAGAGAGACAGAGAGACAGAGAGACATCACAAAGTCAAACAGTATGCAGATACAGAAAGGGATCTTTACTTCCAGCTAGCTAGTATATGACACAAATCTTGATTAGCCCCTGAAGTGCCCCTGTTTGCTTCAGAGCACTTCACTGGCTGAATTTGAAAGGTACACAAACTTCAGAACTTCAGCATATTCTACTGAATGTAGCATGCAAAACAATAAAGTGAAATTGCTTCTTTTAGGCAACAGGTCTGACAAACACGCCTACTTGAGGGGAAAAACAATCAGTGCCACAATATGCCACCAAGGGCTGAAACGCTAACAAAATGCCTGTAGTTAGCTAAAAATGTTAGATTTCAACATGTCAAAGGATTACTCAACATTAAATATCATTCAAACAAACACAGGACTTTCGTCCAATTGTGACCTGCGTTTGTATCAGGTGCGAAGTGAAAAGTAAACGTGGTTAGTCTAGTGAGTCGCTAGTTTCGTTAATCATTTGAATTGAGTAAGTCGTTTGTCACTATTAACGTGAGTCGTTATACACTCGGTAGTGAAGTGAGTCGCTAGTAAGTCAAGTTAACATCAAGCACACTCGTAACTTACAGAAATGTAGGTAGCCTAAAACTGTCATAAGGACAAAAAGCTTGATGAACAAGTAACATTAGAAATTCAATTAAATTCATTTTTTTTGTATAGCCCAAAATCACAAATCACAAATTTGCCTCAGAGGGCTTTACAATCTGTACACATGCGGCACCCTCTGTCCCAGGACCCTCACATCAGAACAGGAAAAACTCCCAAAAACCCCTTTATCAGGGAGAAAAGAGGGAGAGATCTTAGAGAGAGCAACAGAGGAGGGATCCTCTCAATATGCAGAGAAGTGTGATAGATGTCATGTGTACAGAATGAACAACATAACAAACATACTGACTGTCAGGATTCCACAGTTTCCCCATTCTGCCTGCTGATGCCTTACAACTTATTTCAGTTTTTTTTCTGTTCAGCAGCTGTTCAAAAAATTCTTAAACTTCTCTTTTTCAAATTGAAAATTGTATTTCAAATAAAGTTAGCCTGTTGAAGGCCTTATTTGTAATTCAAATGTTAACAAGTCACATGAATGGTACCTGCACTCTGAAATTGATTGGCAGGTCTTTTAACATTTAGATAATAATTACATCTGAGTTATTAATGTTGTTGTTTGTGCACTCCAATAATAATATATAACAGAGTAAACTCCTCATTTTTAGACACTGTCAGTTGAGAAAAACAGTTATAAGAAAGTCAACAAAGTGGCTTTTAGATAAACTAAATATGGAAGGTTGTTAAGAAAAGAAAATAGTAAAATGAATTTAATTAGCATGCACCAAAATAAATTATGTCTGTTTTTCAAATTTAAAAGATCATCCCTATGCCGAAGAATATATTATCTTATCTTATAGGTCATCTTTTGAAATAGGATGTGCTTCTTCCACTGTGCATAAGATTCCCTTACTTCTGGATCACTCTCAACCCTGAATCAATTTGTGCAGGAGAATTATGTTTGGCCAACTGAAAGTAAGACATCAGCCAAGTTTGCATCAGTTACCATGTAACCAGATGGTTTATTAAATTCATGACACTGATTACAGCCCACATAAAGCATTATCTAGACTCCCACCACATTTTCACACTACAACATGGACATTTCGTCATTGTGACGTCATTACATGTACAACCAGAGAGAGAGAGAGAGAGAGAGAGAGAGAGAGAGAGAGAGAGAGAGATTCACATACACCTCGCAGTTTTAATCAAAGGACACTAAATGTCTGCTGTCAGACATTGATAGACCTGTTTGAGTCCTTCTAACGGCAGCATTGCACATAAATATATTCCGTTAAATAAAGCAAGTATCACTTCAACACCTGGCGCTCGTGTGTGTATTTGCGTGTGGGTGTGTGAGGGTGGTGGGTGTTTCGAGGAGAGAGAGAGAGGAATGATTCCCCAGAAAAGACAGACTCCGCCGCACTCCGTTCACAATCCAGCCTGTATGAAGCTACTTTGCTCAGTGAGACGTAAAGGCCACACATCCGGTAGAACATTACCCAAGAGGTTTTAAAAGACAACTCTTTAATTCCACCAAATAGCATCCATTTCATTAATGCGTTAGAGCGGTGACTTTTCAAAGCTGTTTAAATTGGACGAGTGTAACAGCGGATACTATTGAGTCACGGGCTCAAATGTATAGATTATGTATCATTTTAACATCTTCATCCCCTTCAACCCTATAGATACGGACTGTAGCCTATTTTAAATAAACCTATCCCTAGTTTCCACTGACATCAAATAGCCTGTCCAATTGGGGAAATGATGATTGACAATTTCCATCTATATGTCCATTTACTGAATCCATAGGCTATTCTGTCGATTTTTTTTATTTTTTATAAATGTTTCTTAATTAAAATAAACACTTTAAAAAAAGACCATTAGTTGTGAAATATTTCCAAGCGATCCAATTTAAATCCGGGTTCAGAGTCAAACCCGCAGAAACCGCCTTCGCTGATGAAGGTGGTGGTGGGGGTGGTCTATGAATCTGAAATGATGTTCTGAGGCACTCTAACGAATACATTTCTTTGTGTCTCGCCATAGCGGAATGAACGGAGCAACAGGCTATAACAAACACAGCGTCCACAGAGCGTGCAAGTGAACAGCCTCGAGGTCCACAAAGATCACGATGACTGCCACCAGATCATCAGAGCGCGTCATTATTGTCCCATCACTCTCCTCGCGGACAGAGCTGCAGGAGGGGGGGGGGGGGGCGCTACTGTTTGAGTTCCAGAGCCCAGACATGTTGAGGCCAACCTGTCCGCCCTTTACTCTTCTTATCGCTCGCTGACGAGGAGGATGACGATGAGGATGAAGATAATGTCGTCTTCGGAATCTCCACCTGCAGACACATGATATTTGTTATTTATATTATGCGTATTAAACCATGTTTAAAACATAGGCTTTATTGTATATAAAATAGAGCTAGAGGCTTTGTCACCAGTGTATGTGGATGGTTTCACGTTTAGAAGATCATTTAGAAATGAGGTTCTCTGAATAGGTCACATGCCGCTTGATAAGGTTGTTTTTATAACATAAACATAGAAGTGGTTTTCATGTCACACCTCGTAGCTCTATAACATGTCCGTGTTTGTAGTCCAATGATATTGTATTTGGGACAAACCCATATTGGCTGATGGTCCGGAACAGTTACAGTTTACACCAGTGATTTCTTTTAACATTACGATGCTATAGAATTTATTTGGAAGAATGACCTGAAAGTGTTCACAAGCTCCACGCAGTTCTTGATTGAATTCAAAACTTTTTTATTCTCTACATTTTTTTTTTCACAATAGTCACATTTTGTTTGTTTCCTGTCAGCCGTGTGAAATAAAGAGCAGGTTCAGAGCTTTTAAAGTTAGTTAAATTATCAAATAATAATAATAATATTAATAATTATAAAATATAACAATAATAATAATTATTGTTGTTGTATTTATTTGTTTATATTTCATTATTTTCCGAGCCTGCTCATTAAGACGTGCAGTTTCCATGAGATACTCATATAGCTATGTGTAGCCCAATCGAAAATATATTAATATAATATATGGTAGAATAGCGTAGTAGTAATATAAGTTTTTATTTTCACGATGTAAGCAGTTTTAAAAGAAGGTATTTACTTTTCCACAAATCACGCACAAACGTGCGCACGAGAGTGACATTCTCACAGTGAGTGTACACGTCCATAATAACAACAATAATAATAACAATAATACACCGTTATTCTGGCCGTTTATTCAAGCTGAAAGACGGGGTGTCCCGGGACTTTCACCCGCCCCGACTTTTATACAAATGTGACGTCATGTCTCCTTGCTTTCAACGAATACAGCCCACACCAACAGTGAAGCGGTCAACCACTGTTCAGTTCGGTAAACACTATAATCCACCATCCATCCAACCGACCCAGCACCAGCACAGAGGCCTACATCTAAAGTGAAGCAGTAGGCCGCTTTCATTTGGCAGAGTGGGGTAAAACACGATATCAAACACGAAACTCGCGTAAAGAGCTCAGACAGGACAGTTAAGCTGCGACAGCCTCCCGCTACACGAAAACATCAATAATGTGTCACTCCGTGAAGTGGTGCGTTTACTTTAATTATTGACACGTTTAAATGTTTTACTCCATACCCTTTTAGAAAGTAAGATTTTCTTGCTATTACCTATTTTAGAGTAACGGATTTGACTACTTTGTCAACATTCAATATTTTTTAAATTTTTCAATATGTTGCAATTTCTACTTTTTAGTGGCCCTGCAATTCGCAATAGATTAGCCAATTAAAGAAAAAAAGTTACGCGTTTAATCAAAAGGAGCTCAAAGTTCAACCTTGGTGCTCTTCCAGAACTGTGCGTAGACCAGACAGTTTGCGTTAAACAGCCAGATATTTGTGTTCAGGGTAACTCTCCATGTGTGGAAAAAGAACAGCAAAAAAAGGGGCGACGTATCAGCCAAACATGTCGACCTGATTGGCAAACCTACTTTTTCGGTCCAGGTGCGTTAATAAATAGCCGTGAGGTCCAATAAATGCGAGTGTTGCCAGCAGAACATGTGTGTAATTACTGCGGACAGGAGGAGGCTGTGTATAATGAGACATCCAAACCAGTCCATCCCGACTCTTTCCATTGTGTTCTTTTATATCCTCCTCTCTGGGCCGCAGCTGCGTCATCGACCGTAACAGCGCGTTCTGTTCTTTTCTCACAACAAACAGTAAAGGTTTTTATTACATTTTAAAACAGTAACAACAACACGGGCAATAACAACATCAAACAACTATACAACAATATATATAAGTGGATAAAAAGACGAACTGGATCTGAGTGAGGAAATGTGGTTTTATACTAGCACTAATTTATGTTATAATGCCAGACATGTCACTGTTATGAATTATTAAATTATGTCATAGGAACAGATATTTTTTTCATGTCATATTATCATTTGATAAACATCTAAAATGTTCATCTAATTTAATAAGTCACAAGTAGTTTTAGATTTCTACAGCGTGTACTATGACAAATATGAATAAATATCATGTCCGAACAATGCTCTTTTAGTATATAGATAATGCCTTGCAGCCATACAAAATACGTCAACCAGCTAACAGCCAGTTTTGTCATTCTTCTATATTATTTACACATGCTTAATTGAAGGATTTTTGAAGGTCCTTTACACATGATGCCTTAGTCCCAGTCACTTGTCGAGACAAAAGTCCAGGCTCTATTAGTCTGCAGGCTACATATCACTGAAAGTGAAAAATATCAGGCTGCTGAGAGCAGCACTCAAATGTAGAATTACAGCTCTCTAAATCCAGCACATTTACTTTATATCACAAAACGCAACCAAGCATGACACAGACGGAGCAATAAAAAGTTTCTTCTTCTGAAAAATTGCAACAAAATGCAAAGGTGTGCCATAATTCAGTAAGTAACATGCAGGTCTGATGATTTTATAATGTTACAAGTCTTTCTATCTGAAATCATTTCAGATAATGGGTCTAAATCTAAATCTGTGATCAGTTTGCCACTGCACTGTACTAAAATAATTATTTTATAAAAAATTAGGTTTAAATTGTGCACAGATTTTTACTTGGAAAATGGTATCAACGTGTTGCCTAAAATGAGTAAAACAGATCAAACAAATTTGTCTTTGTTAAAATCTAACAGCATCCTCTCTCTGCCTCTATGGAGTAGATTTAGCAAAATAGAATGATTCTGTTGTAGCACAACATCCACATTGATTCAGCCTGAACAACTCCATAGCTGTAATCAGTGACACAACACATTCAACAGTGTGGATGAAGAAAAATCTTATGAATGGCGAACAATATATATGTTAATTCTCTCTTGCACACACAGCTCAATGTAAGAGTCCCCGAAATGACTGAGTTTATTACCTCAAGTCTCCCCTTATTTGCAAGCTTAGAGGTCCCTCTCATAAATGCACTTTAAATTCACTTATGGGTTAACTACTTCATCATTAATGTAAGAGCAGACTGAGGAGCATAAGCAACACTGAGTGCTTACTTTAGCTACACTGAGGCCGAACTCACTAAATTACTCCTCTGATAAATGTTTCATCTTAAGGACAAAGTTAGGGATTCTGTGATATCTTTATCTGTAGTGTCTCAGTTGTAGCAGGGGAGTGTGTATTTGAATCCAGGACTGTGGTTTCATCACAGAGTTGACGTGAATTATTAACAGGACTACATCCTTCTATTAGTGATTGCAGTTTGAAATGATAGGAAAAATTGCTTTCTGGCTTCAATTATTCCGCCACACTTCCTATAGGCAACATACAGGAAATAATTATTCTGTTCGATTCTCTTCTCTCGTCTGACCTGCTCTGTATGATCATGTATCGTTTGTTTAGATTCCCTGCTCGATGTTAGTTCCGGATAACCATTTATTATGAGATAAATGTGTGTCAAAACAACAGCATATAAAATCAATTACATGTTGCTTAGTTCTGTTTGCATATCGTAGTAAATAAAGAGAGTGTAAATGATTACCTTTATCCAGTGACCATAAAGAGGATGTGTAACTCAAATATAAATAAAATTGCAATTTGAAACTTCCTACTTTGTTTGAAATGGGTTTAAATGTCTTGGATGAGCCAAACTATAAATCCTTAGCAACTGTGGGACCTTGTAAAGCTGTAGCCATAGCATATCGGCAGCACAGAGCTGGGACTAAAATTATGTGGATAATATAGCAGGCTGTAAGACGAAAGCATCCAAAAGTGTTGCTGGGAATAATGGCGGTGGGTCTACATGGCTGAACCTGGCCCCTCCTGGCTCCAAGCTGTCTGAGGATGGCAACCAATTTTCTGGCTCCACTCTTATATAGACTTAACCATTTGGATGATACCAAATATGGGTATACTTAAAAAAATCTCTTTAGGAATCAATGGTTAATACTTCAAGTGTCAATTATAAAAATGGGTAAACACACTTACATTCGACTGTTTACTCTCTCTTTAGCAGTCACCTCATATCCTTCATTGGCTTTTAAAAAATCCTCCCCAAATAAATTGGGCTGTGAGATTACCCTCCATTCTGTGTGTGTGCCTACCTCCCGCACAGGAAAAGCCTGTATTGCTGTTTACTTGTTGGCTTTTTCTTGAGCTGGTGTATAGCTCCTTGGCCTCCTTTCTCAGGTAAAGATGACAAAACTGCATACTGTTACATTAAACTGGTTTGGGAGGTAGTCTTTGCACGGTCTACGGGGATAATGGTACCGTCTCCATAGATGGCGAATGCTTGCACATTATATGTATAATTATAAAATAAACACGTTATAATAATAATAATCTTAGAGAACAACAGTTTCCTAATTTACATTCGCGTGTTGTCTGCATGTTTAATCTGATCGTATTGCTGCTTTGGCACCAAGTGTAAAACCACAGAGCCTACTGTTCTCCGTCTTCCTCTTATCCTTAATGCATGAGATCAGCAAAATATTCGTGTCTTGTTAGTGAATCTCGGTCAAATCAGATCCGCTGAGCAGCTTAAACTTTATGTATTGTGTCATTTTTGTCACGAATCAGAAATATTTATAACCGAGGAATCAACATAATCAAATTAAAGTGAAGTTAAACCGGTCTGTCACGACAAGAGCCTGGAATGATTTTCAACACAGCAGCATGACCCGGCGCCGGAACATATCCTTATCCTTTCAAAAAAGAAAAAACAACTCTCATTTACACATATGTAAAGGCAATGATGACCTTCGACTTTTACGAAACAGCCGCGCGGGGTCCTACACATATTCCGTTGACATTTAGCCTGTAATTCACGAAGCAGTATTATATTTTAAGAAGTTTGTCATTTATGTTTTTGAACAATTTGTTCACGCAGCTCTTTATATGCACAAAAGAGCCAAAGTCGAGTTGTTATTGGAATACATACGTTTCCATATAGTGGATTATATGTCAAAACTTATATTATCAAATATTTTATAATAATAATGTTTTTTTTTAATAGCTGAGTTGAATAAATTTATTAAATCCAATAATTAATTATGTTGTATTTGTGTGTTATATACCAATACGCATGCTGATTTCACACCAATGTCTTTTTTAATGGATTTTCATTCTCATTTTTTCTAGCGTGAACGGCAATGAACAAAATGAGTGTTGTTTCTGTTACAAAGTTTTCATGTCAGCCTACTTTGTTTCCTGTCGGACGCAGCAGACGAACTGATGAGAAGGTATCTACAGGATGGTCAACTGTGACCTTCTGTTGTTAATCTTCGAGAGATTAACCATTCAAAGAAACCAGGAATAGGCCTCATTCAATTGTAGGCTATAGCCTACAAAGACATGCATTTAGGTCATGACTCATGTCAGCCACATGTTTTTTTTTTCTTATTGCTCATTTCTAAAAATAAAAATGTGACTGCAATGGCCAAAGTTAGGAGTGCGTTTAGTTTATAATCCACTAGTTTAATAAAACTCGTAGTTTATCTCTCCATCATATTGGGTTCAAGATAACTCTCAACCGTTTCAGTTTTTTTATTTTACATTGACGGCCTGTAAAATGAGTCCACTACTCAGTAAAATGTGTAGCACGAATGCCGAAATGAAGGCCTTTCATTTCAGACCCAAGGCAGACCAATTGCCTAATTCTCCAAAAACAATTAAGTGATTTTGAACTAAGCTTCATGTCGAGACCCGTTGCCTGCTATGGGAGTGTCAGCTTTGGACTATTAGGTGTTGCTTTATTAAACAATATGAAGTGCTATCTTAGCTTTAGCCATAGGTAACCTTAAATATGAAGTGATTTAGACTACTCTTCTGTTATTAAAAGAACAAAGGGAGCTCATTAGGGTTCACTAGTAGGCTGTCAGTGTACGGTTCGTGCTCTTACCGCCTCTCTCTTCCTCCGCTCCTCCCGGGCCTCTGTTTTCTTCAGCTCGGCCTTAAAAGCCTGGGTGTCTCCGTGCTGTCCGTCCTTGTCCAGAATGTCCATCAGGTAGGAGATGTAGCTGGTGGCCAGCCGCAGCGTCTTGATCTTGGACAGCTTAGTGTCGGCCGGGACGTTCGGGATACACTCCCTCAGTTCCGCAAATGCCGAGTTGATGCTCTGGGTCCGCCTCCTCTCCTTACGGTTGGCCGTGGGTCTCCGCTTCACGGGCCGAGGATGCGTGTGGTGGGGGTGCATACCGACCGTGGCTCCGTTCACCGAGATCGCACCGGCCCCCGGAACCAAGCCGCCTGGTCCGTAATGGTGGTGATGGTGGGGGTCCAGGCCCCCGGTGGAACCGCCGCCGCTGTTGCCATGGTACTCTGGGCTGTAGCCGGGCGCGAGGCTATATTCGGTGGGAGACATATCCGCGTGGCTTATTAACCAGCTTGTGAAGTACGGAGGGGCCCCGGTATCCTCGTGACACCGACCGGCCGCCGCCGCATGCAAGGAGTAGTGGTGGCTGTCGTGGTGGTGCATGACCGGGTGGTGAGGGAAGCCCGACACAAGACTCATAGCGACACACAAACACGCACTTACGCGTGCACACACACACACACACACACACACACACACACACACACACACACACACACACACACACACTATCTCTCTCTCTCTCCTGCACGCACTCAGACCTGCACGTATACAAGCAGGTCCTTCTCGGATGCTGCAGCAGTAAACTCGCTAGCTGCTTAACGGCCGTGCACAGCAGATGTTTGCATCTTGAATAATCTGCCAAGCGGCTTCCAAGAGAGACAGCTCGTGTGGTGCGACCGTGACGGTCGGTATTCCGTGCAACAGTAGGCTAGACCCGGGCTGGTCCTGTCTACAGTGGCCCTGTAGGCCGCTCACTTCTGTCCAAACAACTCCTCCTCCTCTAAGACACTGGTCCTCTCCCTCTAATGTCATGCAGCCTATATCCCTCCTCTTCTTTTAGAAACTCACTCACAGTGCGCAGGCTATTCCTCCTTTCCTTCATTGAATCCTCTGTAGCATACTTCGTGAGTCAGTTAGCAGCTTTCAGCCTCAGAACCGTTTGGCAAGGCAGGACCAGTCTGTGCAGGCTCTGATCACTACTGGCTATATACTGAGCTATGGGAAAGCCAGCTTGTCTGTATGAGAGAGGGAGAGTCTGATTTACTACGTCATCTTTTTACCGGGGAGGAGAAACCGACATCATAGCATGTGTAAACCAATGGCAAACCCCCTACCCTCCTCTGGCCCCGTCTGCAGGGTCTGTTTACTTCTCTTTAATGTCAATGGGCCTGCTAAGTAGACCTGCTGGCTCCCCTAACACACCCACACAAACACACACACTCACACGCGCACGTACACTTGTTGGGGGCACACGCACTAATGCACAGCAACAATTAGCCTGCAAGGTCAAAAAGAATAAAGTGAGATGATGTCCTGTCCTCGTTTATAGCATTTATTATATATATATATATATATATATATATATATATATATATATATATATATAT